ATTTCACCGCCATCCTCGTCGGTGCCAGTTACTTCCTCAACAGTGATTTCCCTAGAAACATGCGGGTCAGTGAAGTTGGTATTTCCCATTCATCATTTTCGGAAATCGCTGTAATATTCTTCCCCCTCGCCTGGATTTTGGTCTCGGTATGTGGGTTTGTATTTTAGTATCTCTAATAAAGCTGCTTCGGATTGGACGGTCGCATTAAGTTCATTGTACTTTTCAATTAATCAACCAACCGAATTCCCGTCTGGGATGTCAGCCAGAGTGTAAAAAACACCCGTCGGACGACCACTGCTATCAGTTTTCTCACCCATTTTATTCTTTTGCAAATCCTCTCAGAAAGGTGCTTGTCAATCTTTCAAAGTCTTTTCATAGCCCAGCACTTCCGACATTTTTTCCTGCCGTTGGAATTTTCGTTTGTTGCTTTCTATTAAAGTTTTTAAATTTGTCGCTTCACCAAGTTCATTCCGAATATCTTTAATTGATACCCTTCCTAAAAATTTATCATTGAGTATTTCTTTTCATCCGTTTTCAGTCAGCGGATTAATTCCAATTTGATTTTCGATTTCTTTCAAAGCATCTTTGTAAGTTTGAGCGTTTTCCTTGGTTATTCCTAATGCTTTTATTGCTTCGTAATTTTCTTTGTCTTGTTTATACTCGGTTAATTTTTCATTATTGAGAGAACCATCCTTATTTATCAATTCATTTAATTCCTCAACACCCAAACCATCCTTAGGAGTAAATGTAAATTCTGATTCAATTAGTAAAGAAGTTTTATTACCCTTTCCGCCCCATTTAAAAGTAGTAAATTCTAAATCTCCTCGGTCGTCTTTCTTTATTCCACCGCTAACATTAAGCCAAACAAATTCAACTAACTTACTATCAAAGTTTTCCGAGGCAACTTTTCATTTTTCTTTTCCCTTTGCTGTCGAAATTTTTTTTTGAAATTTTATATCTTTTATTTTCATCGTTATATTACTAATATTTTTAGTCGCTTTTGTTAAAATTTCTTCTTTTCACTTATCTAATTTTAGATAGGGAACACTTTTAATTACTGTTCGATAATCATAATTTTCTGGGTTCTGACCTACCAATAAACAGTGTTTATCCAACTCACCGATAATTTCCTGCTGTTTTTGGTCGGCCGCAAGACATTTATCTAATTGGTGTAAAAGTCGAATGTAATCAGTAAAATCTGAGCTTTTGTCATTAATAGCGGGAATAATTTTTGGTGCTTCGGACGCTGCGAAAACTCCTTTTTCAAAATATTCCTGAATTAGTTCGGTAAATTTGCCTTTAATTATATTTTCCTTTTCTTTTAATTCTACAATTTTTTCGCTGTGATTTCCGCTGGCTCCCTCAACTCCCGCCTTTACTTTTTCGGTCAAAAATTTAATTCGTCAGTCTATTTTGACAATTATATCTTCTTGTAAGTAACCTTTTACTACTAACTGCTTGGTATAGTGGGCTTTGAAGATAAGTTCAGTTTTTTCGTCGCGACCCAAAACATCGAGCAAATTATAAATTTCATCTTGGTAAGCCTGAGCCTTGGTTAAAAAATCAACCCATCAGTCCGGGCTTGGTTCAGAAGTTTCCGCCAGAATTTTTGCCAAATCCCGTAGTGCCGAATTAAATTGCCTGACCCTGGCTTGAAGTTCCACCGAATCTTTATGAATCTTTATTTTCTCTCCGAAAAAGTTAAAAAAAATAAACGCTCCTTTTACTAACTCTCACGCTCCCTTTATTAAACCTAAACCCATAGTTTATTATGGCGATAAATGTTTAGGAGCAGAGAGAGAGAGAGAGAGAGAGAGAGAGAGACGATTTTTTTGTTTATTGTTGTCATAAAAATGATTTTACCACTTTTTAGTCAAGCACTCTTTATATTAATAAATAAAAATTAGCAACTCAAAAAAAATAAATCCGAAAATTTATATAAGTAAAACAATAAAAATAACTTATGCCACGAGACAAAGAATTTGAAAAGGCTCTCCAAGCAGCCGAAGACCCGAAAAACATCGGTCAAGGTTCCTGAGCTTGTCCGGAAAATCCTACTCCCTCGGAACAAGTCAAATATGAACTTTGTGAAAAGATATTAGGCTATCAGGAGGATAATGAATTATCGGATGAAGTAATGACGAGAAAACTTCACTTAACCCAAGCCGAATTAGAGGATATTCTTTTTTGTCGGATTAGTAAATTTACCCTCGACTACTTAATGAATGTTGCTAGTAAACTGTTCTTGCCAGCCGAAATAAAATTAGTTGTGGAAACTAAAAAAGATATCCATGTCCGCACTGTTTAAATTAGAAAAGGAAGAATTTAGTCAAGTTTACCAAGAGCAACAATGAACTTACTCCTGCTTATTCCCTTTTACTTTTAAAAAAAGGAACATTACCAAAATAACTATCACCGACCACCCTTGAAAGAAAAAGGGTCGGGCGTGAATTACTAAGAAATTAATTTTGAATATCCTAACCAAAGAACTTAATGGTCGCACAAGAATGAGACCACAAAAAGTATGTAGTAAGCGGGAAGTTTTTGTTCGTGAATATATTCCTTATCAAGGTAGGTTTTACCATCTAACTTTTTGATTTGAGGACAATAGTTCTGATTGGTTATGAGTGCGGAACTGTTATCCGATTAGTTAAAAAACCAAAAACAACTTTCGTAACTAATTATAATTAGTGAAAAGATTAGCCACTTTTTTTAATTAAATGTTCTTAGAAATAAAAAAATTCCCTAAAATTTAGTATTAAAAATATTAATTATTAATGAAAACCAAAAAAAATAATTTTCGCTGATTAACTATTTCGGTTTTTTTTCACCTCTTATCGTGCTTTTGTGCCTTTTATTTAGATTCTTATAAATGACCCCACGGCTACCAAGATATTAATTATTGATGTAATTTTTTTTCTTATTGAAGCGTCCAAGCCTCCTTAGTTACTTTTATCTACTTTATTTATCAATTATTGAAAAAATCGTCTCCTAATTATTTTGACAAGATTTTTGACCTAATTGTCATTAATGCCAATATTATTTCCATTAGCATTTTTACCGTGTCGGTAATTGGCGGGTGAACCGCGGCTCCCTATCGCAGCGAAGCCATTAATATATTTTCTTTTCCCGTCGATAGAAAAATATTTTGGTGATGTTATGCGATTATTTGACACTATTTAACTCCGATTTTAACCATTACTTATTTTGTGCGGAGAAAAACCAGCTTAGCCACTACTTATTTTGGCCGCCGGCGACTATTTTGATATAGTTTTTTTCATCCCCTTTTTTATATTGCTTTTGTGCTGTTTCGACCCCGCATTCCTGGCTCCGAAGCCTATAATTTTGGTAGCGGAAAGAGAAAGTCGCCTTATCCTTACTTTTTCTTTGACTGAACCAAGCACGGTCAGAGCAATACTTTCTTGTGGGTTTTGTTAGTCTTGGCGATTATTGGTTTAGGACTATTTTTATTTTGGCTTTCTACCCTATTTTTTTGACGATACACCGGTCATAAATTAAAGTTAAGGAAACCTAAAAAATTTTGACCTAATTCCCACAAGGATAAAATAAAATAAATTACTTAACTGCCGACGCCCATCCGCCACTCCTTTTAACCCTAACCAACCGACCTTGAAATTCCGCCCGACCACGACCCGAATGATGATGAAGATGAGAATGATTAAATATCACACTAAAAAATTTAAGCATAAAATATAATATATGAAAGTCAATCTAACTTCTGTATATTTTTAATAAATTAAAAAGATATGAAAAAAAATTTAAATTTGAGTGTCGAATTAACCACTTACCAAGAAGTAAAACGCACCATTCCCAACGGGCAAGTTAGTTCCCTAGTTGATAGTCTCTTAAAGGAATATTTCAAAAAGAAAAAAAGAGAAGAATTAATTGCTGGTTATAAATCAACCGCTAGAAGTAAAGCAATGCGAGAAGAAGATAAAGTTTGAGAAGGAAGTATCGAAGACGGAATAAATGAGTAAAGCAATTAAGAAAACCCCGAAAAGGGGAGAAATCTGATTAGTGGATTACAATTACAAACCCAAGCAAGGCAAAGAAAAAGAGTTAGAAATCGCCAGTAAGATTAAGAAAATTAGACCTTCCTTGATAGTTAGCAATGACGCCCAAAATGAGTTTGACATAGAGATAATTGTAATTCCGTTAAGTAGTCAAGAATTAGCAAGAATTCGCCCTCACGAATTACTCATTAAGAAAAATAAAGAAAACGGCTTGGATGAAGACAGCAAAATTTTATTTAATCGTTTACGGAATATTGAAAAAGATACTCGTCTCGGAGATGACAGGATTGGAGTGGTAGACCAAGAGATTATGAAAGAAGTAAAAGAAAAGTTAAAATTAGTGCTAGATTTGGAGGATTAACCACTTAATTCTGTTAAAAATTCCTTAATACTAAATCTTAATAAAAGAAAAATTAAGGGAATATAAAAGGGGAACTGAATAGCCCAAAAACGACAAAAGGGAAAAATAGAGGTCGAACCCAGCCCAAAAGCAGAACCCTTAAAAAAATTTCGAACCCGAAATTACTTAACAAACTCTTCCCTTTTTTACCTTTAAAGAGAAAAATTGTATAATATGAAATTAATAATTTGGTGGCTGACCTTAATGGTTTCTTTACCTTTCCTTTACTTGTTTTGGTGAAAGAAAAATTGACGCTTACTAATTGGTGTGGTTATTATTGCGGTTGCCGCCCTAGGAATTTTTCTGCCCGGTGCGATTGCTTATTCTTTGGTGAAAAGACAATGAGAAAAAGAATACCACGAAAAAAAAGAAAAAGCCACCCAAATAAATCAAAAATTAACTGCTAGTCTCGATAAAGTTTCCAAGTCAGAAAACAGTTCCCAAGAGCCAGAAAAAACTCGACTAGAAAAAGAGATAGTGGAATTAAATAAAGAAATAGCCGAAATTTCCCAACAAATAAACGAAAACAAGGACCTCATCAAAAATAATTGAGAAAGAATAAAGAAGCAATTAATAAGAATCAAAAAAACCCGTGAATGAGTTCGCAAGTGAAGCGGAGAAAAAAATCCTCCGCCGCTTCTTCTTAGCAGTGAAGAACTTAGCCAAGAATGAACCAAAGAACGCTACTGAGGTAAATACGCCGATAATGTTATTGATTTTAGCCAAAAGGAGAATAACCAAGCCAAAACAGTTGAGGAAAAAATTTTGGAAATTATGAAAAAGAGTGAAGAGCAAAGGAATTCAACCGAGTTTTTCCCAGTCATTTTATTAAAAAATCTCGACCAAATTACTAATTCCGAAGTAGAAAAATTGCTTTTATCACTTTTGGACCCACCACCGGACACTAATTTGTGAAAATATCACAAGGAAATAGGGACTGGCACCCACAAAGAGAGTGTCGAGTTAAACGTTTATTTACCACAATTTATTTTCATTGTCACTACCTCTACTTCCAATTCAAAATTAGCCCCTGACCTCCAAGCCAAGTTAAAGCCAGTGGAACCATTTTTCGATAAATATTTTTGAGTTTTATTTTTTTCCTCCTTGGTTGCCGAAATTATTATTTTCTGATTAATTATTCACCACCAAAAAACCCAAAAGAAAGTTAGTACCAACTTTTTATCTAAATCCTAGCAAGGAGAAAAATTTAAAACCCGCTCTCCCGAAAAATAGCCAAAATCGATAAACAAATCGCCCAGGAGCTAACTAAATCTAATTTCTAAAAAAGGAGGAGGGGGTATAATACTCCCCTCCTCCTAATAGTCGAGATTAAACCTATATTGTGCCAATAAAAATACTTGCTTTATGGAAAAAGAAGATAATTAATTTATTTTTTTGTCAATAACTTCACTAATTCTTTTTTGTCAATTCCTCGCTTAATTTTTTCTTGGTAGTTTTTATATAGTTTCTGACAATTTTCTATAATTTTTTCGGCTTCCTGTTTATTTCCCCAGCCGTGAAGAATTACTTCTTTTCCTTCCAATTCTTTATAGCGTTGGAAAAAATTATTAATTTCGGCTAACTTGTTTTTGGCTATATCTTTTAAATCATTAATGCCGCTGAGTCGCGGTTCTACGGCGTTTACTGCTAATATTTTATCATCTTCTTCGCCATCAATCATTTTTAAAACTCCAATAATTCGAATCGGCACGTAGCAAGGAAAACTTACTGGATAAATAGTTAAGCAAATCACATCCAACGGGTCACCATCATAGTCTAAGGTTTCGGGAATAAAGCCATATTCTTCGGGATAGTGCATAGCCCCGGCCAAGACTCGGTCTAATTCTATTTCCTTAGTATTTACATTATATTCGTATTTATTAAGCGAACCCTTGGGTATTTCGACAAACATTTTCATATAAATTAATTTTAATTCTTAGGAAAGGTTAATTGTTAAACAATTTTCTATATATTAACCAAAAAAGAATTATTTTGCTAATATTTTTCGAAAAAAACTACCTTAATATTTATTATGAACCACGAATTAATAAAGACTACTCAGGAAACTCCTAAAAAAGAAGTAGTAAAAACTTATTACTGTGCTCTTTGTGAAAAGGAAATACCGCTAGGACAAGAAGTAAAAATTATCGAACCGTCCACTTATTATTGGGGTAATCAGGGACCTTATTATTATCGTTCGCGTCGGTGGGGCGGAAATCGCTGACCGTCGAGTTATATTGTGGATGACAACTCTGGCTATGATTATGGCTATTGGGCTAACCCGACCGCAATTTTTTATCTGTGCTTTTCTTGCTTTAAGGCTTATCGACACCAGCGAAAAAAACTTCAAAAAAGGCAATTAAAGGCTACTTTACTAATTATACTAGCAATTTTTAGTTTTACTATTTTACTTACCTTTATTATCATCTGAGCGGTGCGAGGGACGGGATATTAATTAAAAACTTTTTTCAGAAACTAAAATAGTAAAATAAGTATATTAAAATAAAAACATGACAATACTGGAAATAATAAAAAAATACAAAATAAACAAAATTCTAATTAATACCAAACAGTTTCAGTTAAATAATTGAAAAGTCAAAAAAGAAAGAAAAATAGACCGATATGGCGAAGAATATTTTAACCGAGAACTCACTCTATTCAGCACCGAAATCGAGGGACTGAAAGCGGAAAATGAAAACCTGATGAACGAAGCAGTTGAGTTAGTAAAAGCGGAGTTAAGGTCAACCAACTTAGACACCGACCAAAACTTCATTAATGAATTAGACAATCGCCTTACTCAGCAATGTTTATTAATCACAGCCGGTCGTAATTTAGTACCGCGAGCAATTTTAATTAAAGAAAACATAGAGAAAGAGAAAGAGAAAGAGAAAGCCGAGTACTTGGGACAAATTAACGCTAATCTCAACCGAGAGAAAGAAGAATTATCCAGACAATCAAACGAGAGAGGTAATCAACTCAACCGAGTCCACGGCATAATTACTCAACTGCGAGAAATAATTGCGGAAAATCAAAGAGAAAAAGAGGAACTAACTACCAGTTTAGAAACCAAGCAAACTAAAATTGAAGAATTAAGAACTTATCTTCGGGCTTGAACTAAGTTAGCGGAAGCTTGAAAGGATGAAAGGGAAAGATTAGAAATAGAATTAGATGACACCGACCAAAAATTATATGAAAAAAACCAGCAAGTTAAATCCTTAAAAAAAGCCCTAAAAAAATTACAGTTTAAACCTAGTCAAGGCCAAGCCGTCCAAACTGATAACCACAATAATAGTTGAACCAATTATTTTTGAGATAAAGGTCAAGCCACCCTTAATCAATTGAATAAAGTCAAAAACTATATCGCAAAAAATCCCGAGGCTATAACTGATACTGTAATTATTGCTAGTTCGCTAATTAGTACTACTTATACATTTAACAATATCAAGGAAAATATTAAGAATCGTTCCATTCAGTCCCAAGTTGCTGATTTAACAGGCAAAATCTCCCCCGCTAACTCTCAGCAATTAGTTGACAGTCGCGGACAATGAGTAGATTATAACGAAACCCATTCTTGATACCACTCACCGCTCCAAACTTTTTCTAATAATTTAGATAAGCGACCCCAATCTTATGTCAATTGAGATGATAAAACGGACACTGAGGAAATTAATTCTGCCAGTTTCAAGTCAGATAAGGAATTTAGCGAAAAACCAGCCCAAGCACGAAAGATTAGCAAATCCGTCGCAAAAAAATGAGCCGAAGAGAAAAAACAATTAAAAAGTGCCATTGCTAAGGCTAATGAAACAATAACTAATCTGACCCAACAATTAAATAGACGTCCCAATATTACCGCCGAGCAGGAAAATTTAATTAACAAGGTGATAACTCTAACTAACCAAACCCAAACTCTTAATGAGGAACTGAAAAATAAAGCGGCTAATAATCTAAATTACCAACAGAAAAATTTAGCATTACAAACTGAGTTAGACAAATTGAATAAAATAATTTCCGCCCAGGAACAAGAATTAACTAAGGAAAAACTAACCAACCAACAAGACCAAGAAACCAAAATTTTACTGGCAACAATTAATAAAAATCCGAACCCACCCAAAAATTCGGCAGGATATATTAACTCTGTTACTGCTGGTGCCACAGTTACGGCTAGTTATTTATTTGGCAAGTCTAGCCAGACCAAATTAGAGCAAGAACTTAACCAAACCCAAACTGATTACCACCACGAACAATGCCAGCATCAACAAACCAAGACCGAACGGGATAATTACCAAACTCAGTATCAGCGAGAGAAAGAACGAGCTGATAATTTGCAAAACTGAAAAGATAATCATAATGATTACGATACTATTAAAGCCGAACGAAATGACTATAAGGGTAAATTAGAGAGTGTGAATAAAAGACTTAACTCGGAATTAAAACTCGGCTTGGTGGGTGAATTAGAGTTAGATAAAATTATTAGCAAAATAAAAGAGTTAATAAATAAGCCTAACAATATTGAGGAATTAAAAGTGGCTAACCAAACTATCACGGATTTAGAAAAACAATTGAACGATGATAATATTCTTTTCCAAAAAATCTCCGCGACAATTAAACAAAGTGATTTAAAAATGTTGCACGACTTAGGCATTACTATACCGCCCCAACTAAAAATCCAACTGGAACAAGCCGCTAATTATCAAGAACTAAGCCAAGCTCGGCAAGCCATAATCCAGCATTACTTAACTCAAAATAGTAGTAATTTGTCAATAATCAGCAACCAAAAAAGTAAGTTAGTCCAACGGCAAAAAGAAGAAAGAATTATTTGAATTAGTTTCTTAGTAGTTAGTTTATTAACTATTGGCGGATTAATAGTGAGGTTAAAGAGTAAGGTAAAAAAACGTTCTCACTAATTACCTTTTCCAAAAAAAATAGGTTAGTGACGTTTCTCTTTTGCCTAACTAGCCAATATTTTTAAATATTTCTCTTACATCACAATTAGGATTTCAAAGAACCGCCAGAAAATTAAATATAATAGTTAGAAGGTTATATTCTTTAACCAAGCAAAAAATTTCTTTCAAAACTTATTTTCTACCTTGCTTTCGGCTTGCCAGGCCAGCCAAACTAACAATAAATTAACTATCAGTCCGGCCGAAGTTATAATTAAATTGTCCTTTCCTTGATAACGAGTATTTCCAAATATCAGTGGTATTTTTCCTAGCTTAACCTTATATTTAAACAAATTAAAAGAGAAACCCGAAGAACCACCAAAACCGAGCCTAATGCACTTAACCTTAAAAGAAAAATAATTAGCAGTTAACGCGTGTCCTAATTCGTGGGGCAAAGTACAAAATAAAGTAATAAAAATTAAATGGAAAAGAGCAATACCTATTTTTTTACTGGTAACATAACATAAATTCCAGCAGTATTTAAAAAATTTCATAACCTTGGAGGAGGCGAAGGGATTCGAACCCTTGAATACTGGTGTATTAGTAGTTTTCAAGACTACCGCCTTCAACCGCTCGGCCACACCTCCCTATAATTATTTTTTCTCGTCTTTGCCAAAAAAATTCCCTCCGCAAACAGTAAAATTTGATAATAACCCGTAATGAAATATAATGAACTATTAAATACTAATGATATTATTCATTTACTAAGTAATCGGCTGAATTTACAACTAAAACAAACCGGAAAAAGTTTATTTTTTCTTTGTCCGTTTCATTCGGATAATACCCCCTCGTTTAGTTTTGACCCAGTACGCAAAATTTTTAAGTGCTTTTCTTGTAATAATTTCAATCACGGCAAAGCCGGTCATATTTTTGATTTTTGAGCCCAATATAAAAAGATTAGTTTGGAACAAGCGTTAGTCGAAATTAGCCAGTTAGGTTATTTTTCTTGGGCGAGTTTACAAAAAAAAAAACAAGCCGAAGAGAAGCCGAAAAGCAAAATTTTTGATTTTTTTTCCTTAGTAACTGATATTTATCAGCATAATTTATTTACTGCTCCGGGGCAAAAATTATTGGTTTACTTACAGAAAAATCGTCAAATAAACAGTGATTTAATTAATCGTTTTTCCTTAGGCGGCACTATCAATAATAAGCAAATAACTAATTTGTTCTATTCTGAGAATAAAAGCGGTTTTTCTCCCGCTGAACTGTCGCTGACTAACCTGTGGCAAGTAACTGATGATAATCGCGTTTATGACTTTTTCTCAGCCCAACAATTAATTTTCCCTTTAACTAATGAAGAAGGAAAGATTGTTGCTTTTGCTGCCCGCAAAATCGAAGTTCTTTCCGGTGAAAGCAAATATTTATATTTGCCAAGTTATTCCCATTATCAAAAGTCTTCTTTGCTCTATAATTATCCCACTGTCAAGCAAAATCTTTCCCCCGAATGTTATTTAGTGGAAGGATTTTTTGATGTTATCAGTTTAACCCGGTTAGGAATAGAAAATTGTTTAGCACTTTCCGGGACGAACTTGTCGGAAAAGCAAATCAAACTTTTAAAAAACTTACGAAAAAGAATGATTCTTTTTTTAGATGGCGACCTAGCCGGCCAAGAAGCTACTATTCATATCGCAACTACTCTATTGCTACGGGAAATTGACTGTGAAGTAGTAACCAATAATTATCCAAATGACCCCGATGAAATTTGTCGTCAATTCAGCCCTGAAATTATTCAGCAACTTCTGTCCCAACGAGAAAATCCTTACTTATTTATTATTAATTATTATTACTCAAAGGAAGAAATAAAAGAAAACCCGCAACGAATTGCTGGTTTTATTCAGACAATAGCCAAAATTTTTCGTCCGTTTAAAGTCGCCGTTCATAATTTCTTAATCGAAAAAGTAAGTTTGTTAGTAGGTTGAAGTCGGGAGGAAATAGAATTAAATTTCTCGCCTAGTAATCTTCCTTCTTTCTACTTCCCAAATTTACTAATAATTTTTTGTCAAGCAAGAATAAAAGAAAAAGAAAAAGAAATAATTTTTTTGGCTTTCTACCAGCGGAGCTACTGACTAATTATTATGTTGCAAAATTATTTTTTTCTCGATAAAACTAACCGCGACTACTACCAAAGTGCTTACAATTATTATATCTCCTCTTTAACTGATAAACCTTTCGCTCAACAAGTTAATCATAACTTAACCAATTTCTCCAAAATTAAACCTGAGAAAAATTATATTAATATGACTTTTCAGCAAATAAACAATATTAAAAAATTTATGCATAATTATGAAAGGAATTAAAATAATTTCCGCCAAAGAAGAAAGAAAATTACTAATTTCCGCCAAAAAAGGAAAAGGTGCCGAGCAAGAAAATGCCATCCGTTCAATAGTCTACTATAATTTAAATTTAGTTAATTATATTGTCAAGCGTTATTTTTCCTTTGCGGGGCTGTCTCCTGATGACCTAGTAGCCGAAGGGGTTCGTTCTTTGCCGAAAGCCATTGAAAAATTTGACCTTGCTAACCAGAATCGCTTTGCGGTTTATGCTGGTTGTTGGATTAAACAATATATTCGTAGTTATATTGAAAAAACGCAATTCATTAAACAAAGTGCTACCAATCCGGAAAAAAAAAGTGTAATTTATTATGACAGTAATTATCAAAATGACGATAAAGAAAGTAAATCTTACTCATTATTAGATACCTTAAATGATAGTGAAAATCCCGAAATGAATAACGAACAAATTCGGCAACGAGATATCACGCAGCAAATTAATAGTTTGATTAATTCTTTAGGCAGTCGAGAAATGATTTTGTTAATAAGGTTACTCTATAAAATAGTTCCGACTAGTTTACTAGATATTTATTACTTAGCGACCGAAGAGGAAAAAGAAATATTACTAAAAGAATTGAAATTGAGTAGTAAAAAAGCCGAGACTTCTCTGATTAATTATTCCTGCCAAGAAAAAAAGGTTAAGAAATTACCAGTGATTCAAAGATACCTCGACGCCTTTTCTCATACCTATAAATTTTCCGGAATAGCCAAGATAATTAATAAATCTGAGAACTACGTACGTAAATTGAAACAAACCAGTTTTACTAAATTACAAAAACTAGCCAAAGAGGAAAATCTCAGTATTTTGCTCTAAGTTAAAACTTTTTGACAACTAGTTATTGGTATGTTATTGATAAGAGTTTTTTTCCCCACGAACTCAATATTGATGCTTACTTTTTGTTTATTTTTATCAATTTGAGCGATTTTGCCTTCATAATTAGTAAAAGAGCCAGCCGTAATTCTGACTAAATCACCCACTGCTAGATTGGTGGCTGGATAATTATTGTCTAGTGTATTTTCTTCTTCGGTTGGCACTTGGTTAAAGAAACTGGCGATTACTTCTTCCGAAACAAAATTAGGTAATTTATTAATTTCTTTAGGCTGCCCTAAAAAGCCGGTTACTTCCGAAAAACCATAAAAAATTCTGACTAATTCTTGGTCCAAATAAGCACGGAAAAAAATATAACCTTTCAATACTTTTTTATTATTTTTCACTACTTTTCATTCGTTTATATAATCCCGCCATTTGCTATTTTTTAATTCCAATTTTATTTTCTCGATAGTTTTTTCTTCTCGTCCACCGCGAACGGAAAGAATATATCAATGATAGTTATTTTGCTCCATCTAATTATTATTAATTGCCGGAAATCCGTGGATTAATGCTCGCAATTTCGTAAAGTTGAAAAACCAGGAAAATATAAAGAAAAATAATTAGAGTGATAAATAGACAACTGGCAAATCGCAAATCAAAAGTTAAAAATTTAAATAATTTATTGTATTTTCGAATATAATTGGGGTGAGTTAACTTCTTTGTCCTTTTCATATATTTATTTTTACTAACTATCCATTTAAGGGTGGGTTTTTATTAAGAAAAAATCATAATTATTTTAACTTAATATTAGAGGGAAATTTTATGTTTTTCTTTTTTGGCAATTATATACAACTTTAAACTAAAATCCAGTTATATATGTTTAGTTTTAAAAGTATAGCAGAATTATTAGCAGT